TGAAGACAGTCAGTTCTCTTCAGATAAACAACATTTATATAACCATCTCCCAAATAAAACCTCCTTGGATTTACACGAATCACATGAACGGCCTATTTTAATGTCAGAAGAACGAATTTTAGCAAATTCGACGAGTTTAAGCAAATTCGACGAGTCATAAAATACTCCATAATGATAGCTACGACTTGGCTATTTATTATAATCATGCAACCATTTGCCTACCAGGTACCAAAGCCACATCCTAACCACTGACTTTATCCCATCAAATTTTAAAATTGTTTGCATAACCCCAATTCAAATAATGACATATTCACCCCCTCGACCCAGGATAAAAACTGCTTGAACCCAAACTGACAGCATCTTTACTGTTCTCATTGCGTTTCATCTGAATCTGTCGGTTTCATTTCACACAATCACCCACCGCTGCTATAAACTGAGAAGCGCATCTCTAATCGGTGCTTTTAGACTGCCTATGCTATTTGATAATTGGACCCATCAAGTGCTGTGGTCATGTAGTGAGCAAGCCCTTAAAAACCCCTGTGAAAAAAAAACAGATCAGAAAGCCATTTATTTGAATTTAATATAAACAGGGTCTGTCACTGCAGTTGCAAAAGATTTTCTACACCTTGCATCCTAATGGAGAGTCCCACAGGGCTCTGTACTTGGCCCATCCCATGTTCTCTAAAACAGAATGCTTGGCTCCTTTAAGAAATCATAGTTTCTTACACCACTGCTGCTTCAAGGACAGCACAGCTCAACATAACGCACTTCAACTATAATAAAAGTATCTGAATATGCTTAAACTTTACACTGTTTTAGCGTTAACATTATTTTATCTGATTTTACTTTTCTATGTAATCATCAAAAACAACATTTGCCATGCAAAGAAACATGTATTTATGTTGTCACATGATCTACAGCTTTCCATATTTCAGTGACGTTGAAAGTCAAATAACAAGTGCCACAAGAGTGGTGAAAATTTGAATACAATTGCATACTGAAATCCTATCAAATGCAGCACAGAATCAAAGCTGTTCTCGGTAACTTACCAAGTCCATTCTCAAACTTGTTTGACTCCTCTCCATGAATAAATCCAGTCAATTCTGGAAACTATAAAGCAAGAATGGAATTTTTAGCCATCAAGACGACAACAGAAACAGACAGACTTGACTAAAATTAATTTTGATTTTAGTGAAAGCTTTATATTTAAGAACCTGGGCACAAACATCATGGCGAATCATTTCCTGTATCAACACATCAGCAAGCGTCTTAAAGTCCTGGACAAATTTCTTGTTTTTGTCAGCTCCTGTCTTTTCTTGCACCAAAAGTTCAAAAAGCTGTGCTTCCTGTCGACAGGCCCGTGCCACATTGGCGGCTTTTTCTGCCACGCTCAGGAGCAACCGCAGCAACTCTGCCATACCGGAGGCCTGTGAATCACACATAATAAATAAGCTTGGCTCAATATATTGGATAGGCAATGGTACAGTTTTATAAGTATGTCAAGTAACATTTCAGCACACTTCGGAACTAAACAGGTCAAGTGAAAATCAGGTCAAGCTGCAAAAATATTAGTAACCTAAAAAAAGACTCATTAACTAAGTGGGACACAAACTTTAAGATCAAAGCACCATGATGAATGCCAGAAGAAAAATTAAATTAGACAGGTATTTCTGCAAATCACAGCTTGATAATGAAATGCCTCAAATAGGTCTGCATAAACACATTAAGAGTCTTGAGTATCATGGTGATGTAAAGCAAAAAGCTTTGATTCAAGTCATAACCCTGAAAACAAATGTTATATGAATTTGGAAATAGTGAGTGTATTTGTATCAATGTACAAATGCATGCTGCTTGTTCAACTTTGGACTCAGATACAGTGAATAGTGCAAATATATGCAAATAGACACACATGCACATCAATGGACGTCCTCTACACAGTAAGATTACAGAGGGATAATGTCTACTTAAAATTATATTTTGATTACTTATCTTGCTAAGGATTATACAGCTTTGATGAATGTTACAAAGTTCACATCATCTCTGACATCAAAGGTCCAAAAGACACACAAACGCGCAGACACACAGAGACAAAATGCATAAACATGTATACATGAAGCACAGAAACACACACACACACACACACACACACGTGGACAGAATCGAATGCTTTCCTTATTAGAAGACAGACCTCACAAGCAAAGGCAAGACATGATAATTACAGCTCATACCATTGAAATAAATCTGTAGTGGTTAGGTGTCCTTGAGTTGAAGTTGAGCGCTTCCTGTGTGTCACAGTTCTGTACTGATCCTCTGTCTAAAAGCGCAAACACACTTCATCTCTGCTGCGTGACGCCAGCGCATTTTAACGCAGATATTTTAAGTAACAGAAACGCCTCGGAAATTAGAGCATTTCCCCCCTCATTGCGTCAAAATAATAGGCGGAGATTGTTCATGAATACCGCCCTCTGCTGGAGTCGTCGTCTTCTTCTTCTTCTTAATGTTTAACGGCGGTTGGCATCCAGCGTAATTGGTGCATTACCGCCACCATCTGCTCCGGAGTGTGGATCAGACAACAGGTTCACAGACTAATACACCCAAATTCCCTCCTTCTCCCCCAAGCATCAAAATCCACACACTTCATCCTTATTCTACTATATAATAATAATAATTTTAACCTTCCTCAATACTCCTATAACTCTTCATACTCTATTAAAAACCCCTGTGTCCCTTAAGAAATCCATAAGAATTCTAGTATGTGCCCTATGTTGTGTGCTCAACAGCCCTTTTAATGTCATGTCCTGAACCTCTATCTCTCTCAACTTATTCCTCATCAACTCTCTCTGAACCTCATACCTGCTGCACCTCAAGACCACATGCTCCACTGACTCCTCTTCCTGGCAAACCTCACACAATCCAGTATCATGTTTTCCTATTAACTTGAGTGTTTTATTTAATAAACAATGTCCCAATCTTAACCTAGATATGACTGTTTCCTCTCTGCGATTTCCACTACCAATCACTGAACATTTAACATCCCTCTGGATTTGATATAAATGCCTTCCTTTTCCCCTCTCTATCCCACCTCTCTTGCCACATTTGATTTATTGTCTTCCATATCACACACTATTGTATCACACACTGTGCCGGTGCTTGTATCGAAATGACAATACCACGTGATTGATGACGTTTGCAGCTTCGACCGTCATGCAGTATCGGAAGGTCGGGACAGCTGGTTTGAAAAAAATCGGCGCTTCGCATGATTCTTGTGTTTGACTTCACATTGTCCCCAACTAAGCAAGCCAGAGGCGACAGCGGCAAGGAACCAAAACTCCATCGGTGACAGAAATGGAGAAAAAAACTTGGGAGAAACCAGGCTCAGTCGGGGGGCCAGTTCATCTGGTTCCCGTGGTCTTGTGCCGATGAGCTCAAGTACTTAGGTGCTAAAACATTCAGGGCTTTATGATAAAATTAGCAAGATTTTAAAATATATATGATGTTTAATAGGGAGCCAATGCAGTGTTGACAGAACCGGACTAATATGGTCATACTTCCTGGTTCTAGTAAGAACTCTAGCGGCTGCATTTTGGACCAGCTGGAGTTTGTTTACTAACCATGCAGAGCAACCACCCAATGAAGTATTACAATAATCTAACCTTGAGGTCATGAATTAATATTTCTGCATTTGACATTGAAAGCGTAGGTCGTAATTCAGATATATTTTTATGGAAAAATGTGGTTTTACAAATGCTAGAAATGTGGCTTTCAAAGGAAAGATTGCTATCAAATAGCACACCTAGGTTCCTAACTGATGACGAAGAATTGACAAAGCAGCCATCAAGTGCTAGACATTATTCTAGTTTATCACATGCAGAGGTTTTTGGTCTGATAATTAACACCTCTGTTTTTTTTTCAGAATTTAGCAAATTAGTATTTATTAGATAATATTAGAAATTAGTAGTCATCCATTTTTTTGTCAACTATGCATTCCATTAGTTTTGCAAATTGGTATGTTTCGTCGGGCCGCAAAGAAATATAGAGCTGAGTATCATCAGCATAACAGTGAAAGCTAACACCATGTTTCCTGATGATATCTCCCAAGCGTAACATGTAAAGCGTGAAAAACAATGGCCCTAGTACTGAGCCTTGAGGTACTCCATACCACTTGTGATCGATATGATGCCTCTTCATTTACTGCTATGAATTGATGACGGTCAGATTAGTAAGATTTGATCCAAGCTAATGCACTTCCATTAATGCCAACATAATTTTCTAGTCTATTCAAAAGAATGTTGTGGTCAATAGTGTCAAATGCAGTGCTAAGATCTAGTAGCACTAATAGAGAGTTACAACTACTATCGGATGATAAGAGCAGGTCATTTGTAACTCTAATGAGAGCAGTCTCAGTACTATGATGATATGGTTCAAATCCTGACTGGAAAACCTCATAGATTCCATTTTTCTCTAAGAAGGAACATAGTTGTGATGATACTACCTTTTCTAGTATCTTTGACAGAGAAGAGAGATTTGAGATCCATCTGTAATTAACTAATTCTTTAGGGTCAAGTTGTGTGTTTTTTTAATGAGAGGCTTAATAACAGCCAGTTTGAAGGTTTTTGGGACATATCCTAATGACAATGGCAATTTAATAATATTCAGTAGAGAATCTATGTTCCTGGAGATCTACCTTCCTGCAGAGTTCAGTTCTGATCAAACACACCTGTCTGTATTTAGTATTTTTTAATTATAGGCTTAGGGTATTTATAGGGTTATTGTTAAATTCATCCTCTAAACTGCACCATATATGTGGCATTATTTTGACTCCATAGGGCTGCGTTTTCGTTGCATTCACACAGTTTTGACCAGCAGGCGGTGTTTTGAGCGCTTCGAAACCGTAAATCGTTTTGCGAAGCAATTGGCTTATTTGATTTAGTTTCGAAAAGCTTCGTTTCTCGCATCACTAGAGTTTAGGATATTACCATACATTTACCCTATCACAACAATTGCAGGCACGTTTGGCAGAGCGTTGTTGTGCTCTGACGACATTTCCTGTCTAACCCGGAAACGCTTCAAACTCCACAGAAGTCTCCAGTTAGCTTATCCTGATTTAGCCTTATCGCTTTATTTTGTTAATCAAATAAAGGAATAAAATATTAAGTTATATTTGAATTTGATCAGAGTCAGAGCGCAAAGATACTCATTCTAAAGGTAAAACCTGCATCGCCTGAATTCTCGATTTTAATGTATAACCTAAATATGTTGCGGTGGTGTCACGGTTGACAGTAATTGTCGCTATTAGAGCTGATAAAGCAATTAAATCGTAATAATATACATCTAATGTAGAATTACCCGATATATAAGAGTATAGTATTGCACTAGTTTTAACGTTGTAGCGTCTGCACTGCACATGTATTAATCGTGTTTATTATTATTTAGGTCTGTGTTCATACTATCTCCTCTTTCTGCCTCCAGTATTCATGATTCATCGGTTTTTTCAGTGTTAAACAGCTGATCAGGAGATCATGGAGAAAGGTAAGACAACATTATAATATCAGAATAGCAGAAGTTTTTATTTCAAAAAGTTTTTGGTAGCAATTTTCACTCATCTACGCTGTAGATGAACGGACAGTGTGTTTAGAATAGCTAATGGTTAGAGTTATGATGTGTTCTGATTGATGAGGTGTTGTGTTGCAGATGTGAAGGCAGGCATCCCCTCTGGTGTGACTGCAGAAGCGGTGGCCGGACCTCTGGTGTCACAGAGCCGATCCGAGGACGAGGAGTCCACTGCTGTTAAGAGGACAGCCGCTCAGGCCTTCAGCGGAGCCGGGATGATTCCCAAACGCAGAAGCTCCTCCAGGTGAAGAGGAGTCATCCGTTACCATAGCAGTCCTCTGGTTCACTGTGGTAATTTACATATGTCTAAAAGGTGTCAAATCATTATATTTTAGATCAATAAAGAGAAAGAAGTTTGATGATGAACTGGTTGAGAGCAGCCTTGCGAAATCTACCAGTCGGGTCAAAGGTCAGCCAGTCATCGAGCCAATCAGATGCCATGGGAATGACCTTGCATCCAGTGACAAGAAGAAGGTAATAAAGGTTTTTGGATTTTATTTCACAAATCTCTGGGATATTTGATTGTGGTGAATCTTACCTATTATTTTCTGGCCAAGAACCACTGTATGATAGACCACTGAAAATGTGTGTGTGTGAGAGAGAGAGAGGAGAAGAATTATATACCTACCTGTCAATAGTTTAAAATATTTGAGATTTAGGTTTTCGTTTGTAATTTATTGCTGTGATCAAAGCTGAATTTTCAGCATCATTTCTCCAGTCTTCAGTGTCACGTGATCCTTCAGAAATCATTCTTAATATGCAGATTTGCTGATACACTATGATACACTATCATTTAAAAGTTTACACTATCATTTAAAATTCCACTAGGGAGCATTAAAAGTGACAGTAAAGACATTCATAATGTCACAGCAGAAGATTTGTATTTCAGTTAAATGCTGTTAATTTAGATTTTTCCTCATTTAAGAAACCTGAAAAAAATAGCATGGTTATTTTTAACCGTTTTCAATATTGAAAATAAAGAGAACCATTGTTAATAATTCAGGACAAATAATAAAAAAATAATTTAAAAATCTGAGCTTCAAATCAGAATATTAGAATGATTTCTGAAGGACTGTGTGGAAATTCAGTTTTGCCATCACAGGAATGCATTTGAAAATATATTCAAATAGGAAACAGTTCTAAATTGTAATGATATTTCAAAATACTACTATTTTTTTACTGTATTTTCGACCAAATAAATGCAGCTTCGATGAGCATTTGAGACTTCTTTCAAAAGCAAAATCAAATTTTAAACAGCAAATATTAAGCAACAAATTTTCTGCATAGCTGAAATAAGACCTTGCACTTTTAATATAATAGAATCATTTTAGCTCATATATATTTATTTTAATTTCTTTTCTATACTTGCGTATGTGCAATAGACATTACATGTTTTATATACAACGATGGTGTGTTTTTCTGTCTTTTAAAGTAAGCATGCAGGGTGCTAGTAGATTTGTTTTACTGATATGTAACATCTGTATTTTAAGTGTGACATGAAACATTCTTTACCTTTCAGTTGATCTGCTACTCCATAATTTGTCTCTGAACTGTAGGGTTTAAAGTCTGGCAGCTCTCTTACGCCTCCTCTTAGCATGCTGATGGCGCCTTCATCGATGACCAAACGAATGAAGAGAAACAAGCAGCCGTTACAGATCACCAAAGACCTGGGCCGCTGGAAACCCACTGATGACCTGCTGCTCATCAATGCCGTTTTACAGGTCAGCTGTCAGATTTTAGGAGCTTAATAGTTTAGAGAAGTTCTGCTGAGATGAGTTGAACTGACGTAGATGTACGGTTGAGGTCAAAAGAATCTGCAAAACGTTAATTATATTACCAAAATAAGAGGGTTCATACAAAATGCATGTTATTGTTTATTTATTACTGACCTGAATAAGATGTTTCACATAAAAGACATTTACATATAGTCCACAAGAGAAAATAATAGTTGAATTTATAAAAATGATCCCGTTCAAAAGTTTACATACACTTGATTCTTAATACTGTGTTGTTGTTACCTGAATAATTCACAGTTGTGTTTTTTTGTTTAGTGATAGTTGTTCATGAGTCCCTTGTTTGTCCTGAACAGTTAAACTGCCGGAAACATGTAAGTATTTTCTGTAGCTTCTGAAGGGCAGTACTAAATGAAAAAATATGATATTTAGGCGAAATAAGAAAAATTTACACATCTTCATTCTGTTCAAAAGTTTTCTCGTATTGCATCGTTTTCCCTCAACTGTACTTTGTGTTCAGACCACAGATCTTACATCCGTTCACCTGGGAGTGAAATTCAGCTGTCGCTTCACGCTGCGGGAGATTCAGGAGCGCTGGTACGCTCTGCTGTATGACCCTGTCATATCAAAGTGAGTTTCTGACCAAATCATTCTTCTCATATAGTTACAGTTCCTGTTTTAATCTGGTAGAAAAGTGAAATAAAAAAAAAATTTGCCATCACCCTCATGTCATTCCGAACCCCAAAGACTTATTGCTTCCCCAGAACACAAGGATAACAGCCATGTTCATTTCCTAATAGCGTCATAAAAGTTATACCTCTTGCCCTATTCATTCATTCAGGTCATGGCAATTGAACACCAGGGACAATATATCAACTGATATTTGGCTTTTTTAAATTTTTTTATTACTGTATCCACCAACACGTCAGTTTGGTCAGGTAGTGTTGGAAGCTAGAATATTAGTTTGATGCAGAGAATCTACCTCTTAATTAGTTACCTCTCTTGAACGGTTCTACCTAATTCTAAAAAGGCAAACGCTTGAATAATTGATCATGTATAATTTTCAATTATGCTCATACAGTCTGCAAATGAGCAATTATTTAAGATTTTGAATTCAATTGAACACCAGGGACAATATATCAACTGATATTTGGCTTTTTTAAATTTTTTATTACTGTATCCACCAACACGTCAGTTTGGTCAGGTAGTGTTGGAAGCTAGAATATTAGTTTGATGCAGAGAATCTACCTCTTAATTAGTTACCTCTCTTGAACGGTTCTACCTAATTCTAAAAAGGCAAACGCTTGAATAATTGATCATGTATAATTTTCAATTATGCTCATACAGTCTGCAAATGAGCAATTATTTAAGCAAGTCTTAGAATACCTTAATCTAATAAAATGAATTCCATGAACCTCAAACTCTTAGTTACAGTTTTTTTCTTAATCATATGTTTTGTGAATTTGTTTTATTATGGTAGGATTCTAGGAGAAGGAGAAGTTGATATCTGAAATGTAAGTCTGTGTGTATTGATGCTTTTAAATGGATTCATATTTAAATGCAAAGCTCCTCAGATTTTCTTTTCTGGAAGGGTTTGGGATGACATGAGGGTTAGTAAAAAATGAGAGAATTTTTGCTTTTTAGTTTACCTGAACATACGATCTGAATGTACGTTTTCGAAGGGTTTTGTCTGTTCCTCAGGTTGGCGTGGCAGGCCATGAGACAGCTGCATCCAGAGGCTATCGCTGCTATTCAGAGTAAAGCTCTCTTCAGTCAGACAGAGGAAGCCCTGCTCGCTAAGATCACCTCAGTGAGACATTCATTCTAGAACGAGATCAGCATTTTGATGACATATTAGAGTGAATGCTTTCTAGATTGTATTGTTGCTGTTGTTGCTTTAAATGCCATCGCTGTTCAGTTGATCCTTGCTTCATGTTTGTGAGTAGAGCAGTCAGCCTAAGCTGGAGGTTTTTCAAGATTTGCTCAACAAGCACCCGAATGTGTTTTACCCATCACGCACTGCTAAGAATCTGATGGTCCACTGGCAGCTGCTCAAGCAGTACTATCTGCTGGAGGATCAGAGCGGTGAGATGCTCTCATGTCTGGTGTTCCTGCATGCGGTGGTCATTATCATTTACACAACTCATCCGATGTGTTTCTAGTTCAACCTCTGCCTAAAGGAGAGCAAGTGCTGAACTTCTCTGATGCGGAGCAGGTGGTTGATGATGCCAAACTCAAGTAAGTAAACCGACGCTATCAACTCACCGACGCTACACCATCATGTGTTATGAGTTCATTAACAAATAATACTTCACAATAACACTTTGTCCTGCAGTGTGACCAATGAACTTTTAAAAAAAATCTTTTATTTATATCGGTTTTTATGCAACAACAAAAAAAGCAGATCAAATTGAAATCTCACGTAAATTCTGTTAAGTTTATCTTGTGTACTATAATGTAACCTATGTGTTACTTTAAACGACAAATGAACTTTTAAAAGTGAATTCAAGTTTAATATTTTTAGTCATGCTGCAGCACACTGTTCGAAATGTCACTCACTATGTGTACATGCACATTAGAAAACGGTTTATTGTGAGAGAGCTTGTTTTCATGCATATATGTGACCCTGGAGCACAAAAGCAGTCGTAAGTAGCACAGGTATATTTGTAGCAATAGCCCAAAATACATTGAACGGGTCAAAATTATCGATCTTTCTTTTATGCCAAAAATCATTAGGGTATTAAGTAAAGATCATGTTTCCATGAAAACTTCTCTGATGCGGAGCAGGTGGTTGATGATGCCAAACTCAAGTAAGTAAACCGACGCTATCAACTCACCGACGCTACACCATCATGTGTTATGAGTTCATTAACAAATAATACTTCACAATAACACTTTGTCCTGCAGTGTGACCAATGAACTTTTAAAAAAAATCTTTTATTTATATCGGTTTTTATGCAACAACAAAAAAAGCAGATCAAATTGAAATCTCACGTAAATTCTGTTAAGTTTATCTTGTGTACTATAATGTAACCTATGTGTTACTTTAAACGACAAATGAACTTTTAAAAGTGAATTCAAGTTTAATATTTTTAGTCATGCTGCAGCACACTGTTCGAAATGTCACTCACTATGTGTACATGCACATTAGAAAACGGTTTATTGTGAGAGAGCTTGTTTTCATGCATATATGTGACCCTGGAGCACAAAAGCAGTCGTAAGTAGCACAGGTATATTTGTAGCAATAGCCCAAAATACATTGAACGGGTCAAAATTATCGATCTTTCTTTTATGCCAAAAATCATTAGGGTATTAAGTAAAGATCATGTTTCCATGAAGATATTTTGTAAATTTCCTACCGTAAATATATCAAAACTTAATTTTTGATTAGTAATATGCATTGCTAAGGACTTCATTTGGACAACTTTAAAGGCGATTTTCTAAATATTTTGATTTTTTTTGCACCCTCAGATTCCAGATTTTCAAATATTTGTATCTCGGCCAAATATTGTCCTAACAAACCATACATCAATGGAAAGCTTATTTATTCAGCTTTCAGATGATGTATAAATCTCAGTTTTGAAACATTTACTTGGTTTTGTGGTCCAGGGTCACATATGCATATTAGTGGTGTATTCTTAACTCATCTGAATGTGTACTTGTGTTGTCGTCAGTAAGCAGTACACAATTTGTGCATTCAAATCTTGTAATGCACACCAAGCCAGATTATCCTCTATAATTTTTTTTTTCTGATTTTTCCACTGGTCTTTGGATTATTGCAGAAAATAAGCTCTGTGACCAACAAAAATGCATGATTCTTACAGGTTTTGTTCATCAGAAAAACAAACAAAAAAACACTGACTTCAGGATGATGGAACAAGAAGCGCTAAAATATTGTTTTTAGGTTACAGGCCTACAAAAATACGTCATCCCTGCAGCACTCTATATTCATAATGTGTTTCCTCATTAGCCCCCCTTGCAGCCTTTTTTGACAATTATGTATGACACTGACTTTCTGGTTCTGATCATTTATCCTGTTCATCAGGGACAGCAGAGATGAAGTCTTAGAGCACGGTGAGTTATTTCATACAGCCTCTTATTGTTTTAAACGTGTGTAAATATGTTTCAGTACTTTTTCCTCTGTCTGTCTGTGAAATGTTACTGCATTTCTCGTAGAGCTGATGATTGCAGATAGACATCAGAAGCGTGAGATCAGACAGCTGGAGCAGGAGCTTCCTCGCTGGCAGGTGTTAGTGGACAGCATCACAGGTCAGATTTATTCCACTGGGTTTTTGTATAGTTATCAGAAGAATGTGATCGCCGAGTCTGATTGTGTGATATGATTATTTCAGGCATGAATTCGCCAGACTTTGATAATCAGACTCTGGCAGCTTTACGTGGACGAATGGTCAGATATCTGATGAGATCTAGAGAGGTCAGTGAGCATTCAATGTCGAATGCTTGAATCTGGCAGTATGATGCTGGAGTCCCTCACTGTATTTACTCAAACCACAAATACAATGGCTTGGGAAATGTTACTAACCATTACCAATACATGCCAACTGTTTAAAGAAGTTGTAGTCCTACGGTTTTTAAAAAAAAATCTTTTGGGAAAAAGGACAAACCACATATATACAGTGGCTCCAAAACATATTTTTACACTACATAAAATTGCAATTGTAAAAAATGTCTGAAAGTCACTGTATTGGAGACCAAAATATTGGCTGCACTTCATTTTACAGTTTGTGCCCTTACAGTGTACTTACCCAAGAATGTACTGCATAATAGAAGTGCATGGACTCAACATGGGTTCTGGTTTAGTATCTAGTTATTACCCAGGTATTGTGATTAATATAGTAAAGTACATAGTGTGAAAATGCAGAGCAGGACTGTAAAATAAAGTGCTAACAAAATATCTTCTGCTTCTGCTGTACATGCTTTTCTCAGAACCAAACCATGATCTATCTGTTGTTTTAATAAGCAGCAGACTTTTTTTGTGAAATGCTTCACTTGAAATGTGTTTGTGCTTGTACTTGCTTGAATATTTAGTTATTTAACACAATATGAGGCACAATAGTTTTAAAGGAAGAGTTCACCCACAGTTGACCGATAACAAACTCTTTTGAACGGTTTCAGATCACACTAGGACGTGCTACTAAAGACAAGCAGATAGATGTAGATCTGTCTTTGGAGGGACCTGCATGGAAGATCTCCAGAAAGCAAGGTCAGGCGGTTGAACAGCATTATTCATGATGCGCATGGTGCTGTGTGATCAGTCCTGCTCCTTGATGCTTAGTTTAGCTTTGCATCACTAAACTTTATTACAGCATAAACCTTGTTTACTTTTTAAAAGAGAAGGCATTATGTGATTTACTGCGTGACTTGGGGATTTTGAGTTATCTTCAGCACCCGTTAAACAGTGCAGTGTGTCATCGATTACAGCATCCCATTTATGTTTACTGCCGTTACATCAAAGGTTTCTATTTACAATAGAGATGTGCGGATCAACTCAAATGTCAACCGAATCCACTGCTTCAAACAAATCATTCACCCGCACCTATAATTTTCCCTGATATAGATATCCGCACCCGAACGCCACATTAATTATTCTAATGCTTTGTTTTAAGCATGATGATATGGTCAGTGGATCGTTCATTTTTAACAGCACATTTGCACATGACGTTAGAGCTAATCTGCGCATCTCTGATAGTAAAATAATACGTTGATCGTAAGCTGCTTTTAAATGAACATTTAAAATGTTTGTCTTTAGCCAGATTAGCCTATATTTTCTTAATAAAATAAGCACAGGATTTACTCCATTCAGACTTTATTGGCAATATCACTGTTTCTGTCACTGCAACACACAACGTCTACTGCACTGTACTTAGCTGTACTTAATCTTTTATTTTTTGCCTATCCAGTTGAACCCACTGGATGCGGCGCTGCTCATACAAAATATTGCCGTTCACACAGAACGCATATCTATCTATCACCGTTTCACTCGCGTCTCGCACAAGAGAGCCGCATGTTTAGAAAGCCATGTAAAATTAATGTAAGTTCAACTTTTAAAAAACATGTCTCGAGACTTTATGGCGGTTTTTCTGCATCCCATTGCATCTCATGTTTTTAAATGAAAAAAGTGCTCTTTGTTTGTGGTTCTTTGTATTAAACTATACATACATGCATCATGTTGTTTTGTTTCTAATTGTTTAAGCAACGTAATTAATTATATATGGTTTACAAACATTATTTTAAACATTAAGCACTTTTTTCAAAAATAGTAGTGTTATTTTGAAACGTGCATTAGTAATATTTTGCTCGATGAGCCCTCTTGTGGCCTCAGGAGAGAAGCCTAAAGCTTTTTCCCCCTAACTGAAATTATGCCTTTTAAAGGCGCAATATGTAATTTTCGCTGTTAGAGGGCGCGTATTCAAAATAAACAAATAGACAAAGGCGTAGTTTGATGGCATCGTGACTGAGTGTGGAATCATGGGAGTTGTGGTCTTCATCCCCACAGCCGATGCAGTCCGACGGGACTCGGGCAGAAATCATGAGTTAATGATTTATTAACGTAGTAGAATGAAGCAGGGTGAGGCTGAAAGCCGTCGAAGCGAAACGAGGCCGCTGAACGAGCGTGACACACGGCTCGAAAGCAGCGGAGCTTTTATTATGCCACAGTCGACCGCTTCCGCTCCTTCAGGTCGTGCGTATGTGGGGTAAAGCAGCGCTGTTTTATCATACTAGATACATTTGAAAGTTCTGTTATAATGCTACTCTGTGTGGTCGTCACCGGTCTATTAAAATTGGTGTTTCCATGCTTTCTACAAAACAAAACCGGAAATCGAGGGGTTATGACGTCATTGGCAGGCGACACAATGACGCTATGGACACGCTCCGTGTCACTAGTTAAAATTGCTTATTTCTCTGGATTTAAACATTCTTCGAAACATTTGGGATAACGTAAGTACACCAGTCAGCAAAATATATAACACTGTTCTAGTGGTTTTTGGATATTTTAATAAAAAAAATCGTACATATTGTGCCTTTAAATTTGAATATAATTCGAATATTGATAATATTAGTACAAAATTCGAATTTAGGTTTTCAGCCATTTTGACAGCTCTACTTAGCTCCGATGTTTATTAGTGTTTGGGCCACTTGGAGGAATCCTTTGCCAGAGACAGCATCGAAGGGGTATACATCTAGGCAGCACAGGTCCACACATGCATCCACGATACTAGATTTATCTTCTAGTGGTATTTTTTGCTGTCCCGATGGACGTGAGAACTTAAGGTGCTTGTCTGACTTGACTGGCGTTTCGCTTTCATGATGGACCATATTCGAGGTATCAGTCATATACTGTACATACAGCGCTTCACAGCCGTTGCATATTACATACCCAGCACTTGATTCATCCATGCTAACCATTTGCTAAAACGCTCCCACACGGTACATTTCTTTCCTTCCTTGTTTTGTTTTTAATTCTCCCTTTTTAATTTTCTCTCAGATCTGTTTCGCCTCCATTTATATGCTTTAAGAAAAGGATGTAGAATGTTGTTAATATTTGCATCATTAATCAAATCTTGGGTGTATAATCTTATATACCCGTGACCCACCTGCAATGAATCAGAATGTTGTTGTTTTTTGTTGTACAAGCTAACTAGTTGTTACTGGGACACTAGTAAGTACGATGCATGACTGATGCAACACTGCACAGCTCTATGGATTTTAATTTAAACATTTGATGCTTTGAAGTATCACCAGGACTTTTGAATGGCATTGTGTAAACCGGATGCAATTTTAAAGTAATGAAATAATGTTGGGTTTCTAACTCCCAGGGATCATTAAACTGAAAAATAATGGAGATTTCTTCATCGCTAATGAAGGCCGAAGACCCATTTACATTGATGGTCGACCAGTTTTGTCTGGAAACAAGTGGAAACTCAACAACAACTCTGTGATGGAGGTATGGACACGCTTACATTTGAGTCACAAAATCACCGTTTGGAAAAATGACAGCTGTCAAAAAAGAATGATTTACCACATTTACACCGCACGTTTTGTATATAGTATATAAATACATTTTGTATGTCTAAATCTTATCATTATATAATATTTATGAAAATTATGACCATTTTAAGATTTTTTTTCAAGACCATTAATTGCATGAAAAATACATAAATTGTTCTTCCAAAAAAATATAAGCATTGAAATTAAATTCTATTCACACACTAGTTTTAAGCAAGACAGCTCGCATTTTGCCTGAGAATATAATACTTTTCATTGACATTTCATAACCAGGGAATGCGATATGTATTTGTTTTACGTTATGCCCCGCTCTAAGAGCTATAACTGCTCTTTGTGTGAAATCTCCGTAATTTTTTTTTTTTTTATCTGTCATGAAATTCATTTGTCAAAGGGGGTAGGAATACTGGAATTTATTTATTGCCCCGGATTCGTTTTTGTATACAGTTCTAGAATATTTATAGTATCAACGCCTAAATATCAGACGACGGTTTCTATCACATTCTCCTCTATGTACACACAGTGTATCAGCTACTATTATTATCAATCACCATAAAAAAGTATTATAAGGGATTCAGTTAAAGCTCAGTTTTTATTGTGGAGGCCATTAGTATAATTTTGCAACTGAATCACATCCAGATTTTTCAACAGCAAAATGTTTGCAAAAATAATGACAAGTCAGAGTCATGTGTTCAGTCCCTTGAACATGACTTTCTAGCTCTTGGTTTCGGTTAGACCACAGGTGTCAACTTTGAAGGCCAAATGTTGCCCGTGGGTTCATTTCTGAAACCTAGAAATGAAAAGTCTCAGTTAGTGCTTTCCTTGTGAATATGAACCCGAATAAAGCACACATTTGCAAATAAAGCACCGTTTCCATCCAACAAGTCAAAGAGAACAAAATCATCATTTCCTGATAAACTGGCACTAAATATCACTAAGAAAATTAGGAGAGGCCACTGAATATAATCATTTTCATATATGATAAATTACTTGCGCCTCAGAGCGAGCAGACGAAGCACAGTAAATGCGGTCAGTGCTTTCGGAGGTGGATGCCTGCTGTTTGGGAACGTAGTCGTGTAAGACAATTAAACAGAAATACTTTGATGACAGACTTTGGCTTAAGCATTTCAGAATGACCAAATAACATTTGAGATGCTGTGCAACAAGGTCAGTCCCATGGTTAGTCAAGTTGCGTCATCCCATCGCGCAAAGTCACATGACTTTTTTGATACACATCGAGGAATTTATTCAGCAAATATACGCATTATTCGCATGAACTCTTTCTCACAAGTCAAAGACCACCTCAAGCGAGTGTAAAAACTTTTTTGCGAGTTATGGCATTATATTTGGTATTTTCATCACTTGTTTCTGATGTGATGCTTCAAAATGTGCATAAAAACAGGGTGAAGGAAACATAGCTATTGTGTCGGTACCAAATCCAGTCGCTACCAAGGTTATTATAGTTTTGGGTATTGGGTTTTGATTTATTTTGTTTTCTATATCAAATTATTTTGTTTAGTTTCATTAAAATAACACTGCTGCAGGGAGGCTGGTATTGTTTCATTTTTGTAAAATGTTCATCACACTCATTGCGAAACTAACATACTGAAAATAGCTGTTTTGTGGACCAGTGTGTCATTACATATTATTTTTATAATAAGTCACAATGAACAAAATTTACTGTATTACATAAAATGTCAGAATGTTGTTCCTTACCCTTAATCCTAATAATGTTATTGCATATAACATGCTCAGAAGTTGTTTGAACAGTGATTCTCTAGAAAGAATGAAAAGCTGGTCAATAACGCATGCGTGTTTGTTTTGTCCAGATTGCTGGTCTTCGCTTTGTGTTCCTGATCAATCAGGAGTTGATTTCTCTCATTAAAGCCGAAGCTGCCAAGATGAACCAGCCATGATGCTGAAGTCACCAGTTCACGAGATGTCAAACACCATTCAGAGCTGTACTGTCCTGTCTTTACCTCTGAGTAGAGTCATATACAGGAGACCTTTCAGCACAAGATTATAGTGGCTCTCACAGCAACAACTGAGATCTGGAGGAAAAAATCATTTGGAGAGGAATTGGACATTTATATTCCTGTTATTTAAGGCACATTTGGACAGAAAGAACTGAATGTTTGAGAGTGTTTGTGTGTGTGTGATTTGTAGATTTGCTTTTTTTTTGTGTGTGTACTGTTACTGTTTTGTTGACTTGTAGATTTTTTGTTTGTTTATACTTCAAACACAGTAACCTTGTATTGTCTCATCAAAGACAGTTTGCTAATATTCTACCATGACAGAAATAGTGTAAATATATTCATAAAGACTGATTAAAACTGAAAGGTGTTTCAGTGATGTATCTGTGTATTGTAATGCATTGTGTGGTGTTGTATGTTTGTCATTGACTTTAGCAACCACTAAAGATTTTAGAGTCAGAGTGGCAAACTTTGCATGCATCACTTTGGCCCTTGACATGAACTAATGTTGCAAACCCAGCGTGGATACAAGTAACCGACAATGCATAAAAATACATTTAAAGTAAAGCTTCAGATCTAATTATAATGCACAATTACTAACGACACTACAGGTCAAAATTTGGGGATATTAGAAAGTTTTTTTTAATGTTTTGTTGAAGGTGCCATAGAATGGAAAACTGTATTTACTTTGGCATAGTTGAATAAAAACAGTTCTGTACATGGAAATGACATACAGTGAGCCTCAAACACCATTGTTTCCTCCTTATGTAAATCTCGTGCATGCAAAAGACCACTGAAAAATAGGCGAATCGGAACATAACACCGACTGACGTTATAGTCGGGATCACTAATAGTTACGCCCCCAATATTTGCATATACCCGCCCATGTTCTATGCCAGCCGTTTCAATGCCCCGCATATTAATAGCGACTCCCTAATACCCGCATTTTATATACAGTATAATTACCAAGCGGCAACCTCCCGCTCTCTCTCGTGAAGCCAACACGGAAGTGACTTAAACTGCAATTCATCAACTGGCCGCTAGAGGCTGGCTGCAAAAGGGAGTCAATCCCATAGACTCCCCATGTTAAAATGCCCAACTTTACCGCAGAAAAAAACATGTTTACAGCCTGGCTCAAAAAATGATTTTGGTCTATAGCTAATTTTGCCCTTGATGACAACTGTGAGGGGGGTGAATTTTTTTTATAACTCATCCGTTTAAATTATATTAAGCCTTAAAGTTCTGCATAATTAAGGGCGTGGCCACTTGAGTGACAGGTGGATTGCCGCTGCTGTCACCACCGTCGAGCTAGGTGGGCGTGGCTTCAGTAACCTGCTACCGCCTCTTTGCCCATTTTCAATTATCCGGGAGTGACGCGCGGTGACACGCTGCCAAGATGGCGACGGCCCGCTCCGCCCAATTTTGAGCTTCAATAACGCTCTTCGGAAATCTACGGGTGACGTCACGGACGCTACGTCCATGTTTTTATACAGTCTACGATAATTACCCAACGATATAACTGGCAGAGAAAGTATTGAAATATATATTTTCCCTGTGTTTCCTTCCTGCTGGGTGAGCTACTGAAATGAGCTGCACTGTGAAACCAGTCAGAGTCAGAAATCAGAGTACAGCTCAACATTATTATTCATGACCCTTCCAAATAAGGTAAAAACAGACCATTTCAATCCTAGGGTTGTAAATGGACATGTAAAACCGTTTCTGGAGATTTTTTGCCCTTACCTAAGCCACATACCTTCTATGTAGATATCAGAGAACAATTTAAAATATTGTATCAATGCATTCTATGGCACCTTTAAGAAGTCTCTTCTGCTCACCATAGCTGCATTAATTTGGCGAATAATTTATTAATACAGTTATACTGAATTTTATTACAATTTAAAATAATTTTCTATTTGAACATGTGACACTGAGGACTGGGGTAATGACTAATGAAAATTCATCTTTGCATCACAGAAAGAAGTGACATTTTAAAATATATTCAAATATTAAGTTAAATTGCAATAATATGTTTTTACTGTATTTTATGTATCAAATAATTGCAGCCTTGGTGAGAATAAAAAAACGGTTGACCTGCAGTACCTTGAACATTCGACTATGAAATGTTCCAGAAAAAGAAAATGACAAATGTGTGATACTTAAATTAGCTAAATTATATATATATATATATATTTTTTTTTTTTTTCTGCAAATTAGTCTGTTAGTTTTAGGTCAAATGATTTACAAAAGCAGAAGAAAGTCCAACAAAGGACACCCCGCTGACAACAGCAGGTAAAGCCGACTGACCACTTTGACGTCAAAAATAATCAGATGCGAGTTGATCGATGCAAACATCGGGAGAAAGTCTACTGAATATATGTATATTATATAAATATAATCTGAGAATCTGATGTTTTTGGATGGTGTAACCACAGTAAACGTGGTGCTCGTGATGATGCGGCAGGCTGCGTCCACGTCACACTCGTGCGTCTCGTAAAGTTTCCGAGCGGCTCGAGACGGATCTGCAGATCCACATCAGCTCATGGCGCACTCTGCTTCTCCGAGAACTGCAGGATAGTTACAGTAAGATCACAACTCTTCTGGCAATTTATACATTGGGAAGTCGGTAGTGTTTGGAATTCAAAGCAACGCTGTGTGTGTGTGGGGGGGGTCGGTCTTGTATTTTAAGTTGTGCAGCGATGGGCTGATTCGAAATTCATCGGGTTGTGGTTTGCGTTTTTGTATGTGGCACCTATTTTTTTTAGCCTGCTGTATACAAACGATTCGATCATTTTCTAATTTAATACGGGTGCTAATTATTTCATTGCCATATCAATAATGGTGCATTTGTGTTTATTACATGATTTAACCATTCCTTGTTTACAAAAGCATATGTTTGAGTATTTGATTGCAAACTAACTTTTACTGCACATGTGGCATAATTATGTTGGTTATCAAACGGCAGCTTTTTATAACAAATGCATGTTAACTTGCTTAACCAGTCAAGGAAATTATAACTCTCAAAGTTACTAGAACCTCCTCGGTTTTTAAAACCATGACCAGTGCAACCTATTTGGGCAATGTAACCAAAACCAGATTTAATTGATTTCCACCCACTAAATGACGAGTGAGGGTGTGTTAGACACACAGTTCTAGAAAGATCCACAGTCACAGAATAGCTGCTGTAATATTTCCAAACAATTGGTTGGACTTCTTTTCCAGTAAGACGTTTCTTGTGGAAAAATTAGGCCTAAGTATTCAACTGCTTACTATCTTTGCAAAACAGTTACAGAAATGTGGCAAACCTTGAATGAACAGTTTATTAAAGTATTACACCACATTCCATCATTTTAATCCATTGTAAAGCCTATTAATAGTCTCATAGTTGGCTTTAATGTTGATGGTTATAAATCAATAAGCTGAAATAAAGTCAGTAGGATTTGTTATTGGTCCTTTTAATGAAAAGACTGAGAACATTCTACATTGTTGGTCCTAACAGCAAGGTTCATGTTTTCTGTACACAAGAACTGCATGGACCAAAACAAGTGTCTTATCCATTATGACGCAATCATGTCAGTCCAAATATTTGAGCAACAGTGACTCATTTCAAACCCTTAACCATGTTTTGGTTACATGACTGTTTGGTGGCTTGTTTACAACAAGGCTCTAGTTTCATATTTTTATTTCCAAGAGATTTTCTCTATGCAGGAGCTTCTTTCTGCTAAACCCTGCTGTCCCTCTTATCATGTGCAAATATATGTTAATGACCGGTCATGAACCGTTTTAAAACCAGTAGCTCATGCAGTGCATGTATCGCTGATATGAAGCTAATAGACTGCAATCCTAAGTGAGGTCTGGGCTGATATGTAATGTTGGAAATAGATGTTATGATGTTTATTTGGCGTAAATCATTATGAGGTGCAGTGAGATATACAAAGTTTTAAGAGATTAGAGTTTTAATTCTCTTCTCTTTGGTCACTTTAGGACCAAATGACATTTAGGACAAGTTTTTTTTTTTTTGGTCGTTACCCAGCAGGCTTACATGTGGTTGCAGTGATAAGACAAATGTTTAGGTTTTGATGAGTCATGATGGTGGTTAGTCTGAAAAGATCCATGCAATATGTTTTAAATTCACCAGATGTCTCATATTTAATACATTGCTGCACTGAAAGTGAAAAATCAAAGAAACACACATAAAGATGCTTGCAAATGCAGGGGTCTTAAGCTACTAAAGTTTTCCAGACAAGAAAAAACATGTCCTGTGTACCTTCTACCTTGCGTTTTGTTAGTTTAACTGCCCTGCATCTTGTATTTTTCAATGCAGTGATCATGTTCTGTGTTAGTGACTTCTTTGACATTAAACTTTTTTGATGACTTTTTTTATCCCATTGTTTAGAGAACTGACTGTTTGCACAAAATTCACAGAATTTTTTTAAATTATATATTTTTATTTTTTCACTAAGATGAATACTTAGAGCAGTGCTTACTTGTAGATGCCTTATTGAATTTTACATGCATGAAAACAAGGCTGTGAGGGATAGACTTACACACAATCGCATGCTTTGCATGTAATTCTCAAAACTATTTTATGTAGTTTTTGTCTAGTAAAAGTCTTCAGGAAAAATATTTCTGAACATTTGGCATGCTACTAAACAACAATGCAACCCATTGAACATGATGTACTTTTATTGAAAATAGTGAAGAAGTCCTCAGATGCCACGTTCATTACAGCAGCATCTAGTCGAAATGACGTTGTGCAAAAATCTGCTGACTGAATGAACTGCATATATACTGGAGTGGAGTTTACGCCAAATACATAAACCACGTGAAGGTGGTTTTAAAAAAAGAAGGGCTTTCTGTTGTATGTGTAAATTAACTATAATAATTGGACATTAATTGCATTCTTGAACTGATTCATTAACACAAGTTCCTTATGTTATATATATATATATATATATATTAAGTTTCCTTACGGCTATATTCCTTAGCCATCTTCAAGAATCGGCAAAAAACACATCACTTCCATCTTTATTTGACCCTCTAACTCTAGCAATCTCTATTCTAATTCTATTCTTTTAAAAAAATTGCCCCTTTTAGATTTGCACTTTTACTAACTGCTTGTTTTCTTTAACACTAGCTTCTCTATTCTTTCTATTCCTTTTCTTTGTTATACAATTAACAAAAGCAAAAAAGGCCTCTAACACTAGCTTGCTCTATTCTTTTTCTATTCTATCTGTTTTCTTTTTATTTATTTATTATATAATAATAAAAAAAAACCTTGTGTACTGCTATGTGTACTGCGTTATAGGCTAACTGAGACTTGTTATAGCACTTGCGTATCATTGCTCTTTTGTTGATTTTGATTGCTTCCATTGTCCTCATTTGTAAGTCGCTTTGGATTTGTAAGTTATTACTCCACCACCTGCACATGACGTCATTAACAACAGTCTTGTATTGTTTAACTAGCAACTAGCTGCCACCATGTTATTACAGTTTCAGAATACAGTCACAACTCGCTTTCCAATGATGCATTGTGCTATGTAGTTAATCAGCGAGTTGCAACGATGTCAGAGATGTTTCTAGCCTTTCATCAGTACTGGTGCCCAGAGAAGTTGGTCCCTTGAACCAGTACTGAAAACCGCTGCCCTACAGCATGT